AAAAAAGAAAAAAGAATAAAAAAGAAGGAAGCATGCCTACAAGATCTAGAAAATAGCCTCAAAAGGGCAAATCTAAGAGTTATTGGCCTTAAAGAGGAGGTAGAGACAGAAACTGAGGTAGAAAGTTTATTCAAAGAAATAGTAACAGAGAACTTTCCAAACCTAGAGAAAGATATCAACATTCAGGTATAGGAAGGTCATAGAACACCAAGCAGATTTAACTCTAATAAGACTACCTCAAGGCATTTAGTAATCAAGCTTCCAAAGGTCATAAATAAAGAAAAGATCCTAAGGGAGGCAAGAAAAATGAAAAAAATATATATATATAAAGGTGCTCCAGTACATCTGGTAGCAGACTTCTCAGTGGAAACTTTATAAGTCAGGAGAGAGTGGCATGACATATTCAAAGTGCTGAAAGAAAAAAAGCTTAACCCTAGAATATTATATCCTGCAAAAATATCCTTCAAACATAAAGGAGAAACAAACAGTTTCTTTGACAAACAAAAGCTGGGGGATTTCATCAATACCAGACCTGTCCTACACAAATACAGAATACTTTATTGCTGTAATTGTAGTGTATTAAAGCACTTATATCTTGTAGGAAGACTAAAAGACAAACCTATCAAAAATAACAATTTTTTGGGAGATAGTATAAAAAGATATGGATGGAAACACAAAAAGTTAAAAAGTGTGGGGGTGTGGAGTTAAAGGGTAGAATTTCTGTTAGATTTATCATTGCTTTTTTTGTTTGTTTATAAGCAGAGTTGTCATATGTTTAAAATAATTGGTTATAAAATGTTTTTTGCAAGCCTTATAACAACCTCAAATAAAAAAAAATACAAAAGATAAACAAAAAATAAAAAGAAAGAAATTAAGACACATTACCAGAGAAAATTACTTGTAACAAAGGAAGACAGGAAGGAAGTAAGAAAGAGATGACCACAAAACAACCAGATATCAAATAACAACATGGCCGTAGTAAGTCCTTAGCTATCAATAATAACATTGAATGGGAATGGACTAAACTCTCCTATCAAAAGATACAGAGTGGCTGAATGTATTAAAAAACAAGAGCCAACTATATGTTGCCTGTAAGAAACCTACTTCATCTACAAAGACATACACAGAGTGTAAATAAAGGGATGGAAGAAAATATTCCATGCAAATGGAAACCAAAAAAAGAGTAAGGGTAGCTATCTATCTATCTGACAAAATATTAATAGATTTCAAAACAAAAACTTTAAAAAGAGACAAATAAGGTCATTATGTAATGATAAAGGGGTCAATTCAGCAGGAGGATATAACAATTCTGAATATATATGCACCCAATACTGGAGCACTCAGATATGTAAAACAAATATTATCAGAGATAAAGAGAGAGATAGACCCTAATACAATGATCATTGGAGACCTCAACACTCCACTTTGAACATTGGACATATTATCCAGACAGAAAATCAACAAAGAAACATTGGACTTAATCTGCACTATAGATCAAATAGGCCTAATCGATATTTATAGAACATTTCATCCAACAGCTGCAGAATATGCATTCTTCTCCTCAGCTCATGGATCATTCTCAAGGACAGACCATATGTTAGGCCACAAGACAAGTCTTAAAAAAAACAAAAAAAAGTGAAATCATACTAAATATTTTCTCTGATTACAATGGAATAAAACTAGAAATCAGTAACGAGAAGAATACTGGAAACTATACCAACACATGGAAGTTAAATAATATGTTCCCGAATGACCAGTGGGTCAATGAAGAGATTAAGAAGGAAATTTAAAAATTTCCTGAAACAAATGAAAATGAAAACACAGCATGTCAAAACCTATGGGATACAGTAAAAGCAGTAATAAGAAGAAAGTTTACAGCAATAAGTGCCTACATCAGAAAAGTAGAAAAGCTTCAGATAACAACTTAATGATGTGACTCAAAGAACTAGAAAAACAAGAGCAAGCCAAATTCAAAATTGATAGAGAAAAAGAAGTAATAAAGATCGGAGTAGAAATAAATGAAAAATTAAAACAAAAAATACAAAAGATCAAAGAAACAAAAAGTTGGTTTTTTTGAAAAGAAAAACAAAATCGACACACCTTTAGCCAGACTAAGAAAAAAAGAAAGAAGACCCAAATAAATAAAATCATAGATGAAAAAGGACATTACGACTGATATTGCAGAAATCCAAAGGATCATTAGAGACTAACTACTATAAGCAACTATGTGAATTGGAAAGCTTAGAAGAAATGGATAAATTCCTAGACACACACAATCTACCAAGATTGAACCAGGAAGAAATCCAAAACTCGAATAAACTGATAGCAAGTAATGAGATAGAAGCAGTCATAAAAAGTCTTCCATCAAAGAAAAGCCCAGGACCTGATGGCTTCACTGCTGGATTATACGAAGCATTCAAAGAAGAGCTAATACTAATTCTACTTAAACTATTCCAAAAAATTGAGGAGGAGGGGATACTCCCAAACTCATTCTACACAGCCTATATCACCCTGATACCAAAACCAGACAAAGACACAACAAAAAAAGAAAACTATAGGCTGATATCTCTGAAGAACATAGATGCAAAAATCCTCAACAAAATACTGGCAAACTGAATTCAACAGCACATTAAAAAGATTATTCTTCATGATCCAGTGGGATTCATCCCAGAGATGAAAGAATAGTTCAATATATGCAAATCAATCAATGTGATACATCATATTGACAGAGAGAAGGACAAAAACTACACGATCATTTCAACTGATGCTAAAAAAGTACCCAGTGAAATTCAACATCCCTTCATAATAAAAACTCTAAAAAAACTGGGTATAGAAGGAACTTACCTCAACACAATAAAAGCCATATAGGACAGACCCACAGCTAGTATCATACTGAATGGGGAACAACTGACAGCCTGTCCTCTAAGATCTGGAACAAGACAAGGATGCCCACTTTCACCACTGTTAGTCAACATAGTACTGGAAGTTCTAGCTAGAGTAATCAGACAAGAGAAAGAAATAGAGGGCATCCAAATTGGAAAGGAAGAAGTCAAATTATCCTTGTTTGCAGATGATATGATCTTGTATCTAAAGACTCCACAAAAAACTATTAGAACTGATAAAGAAATACAGTAAAGTTACAGGATACAAAATCAACATACAAAAAGAAGTAGCATTTCTATATGCCAACAATCAACAGTATGAAAAAGAAACCAAGAAAATAATCCCATTTAAAATAGCTACAAATAAAATAAAATACCTAGGAATAAACTTAACCAAAGAAGTGAAAGATCTCTGTAATGAAAACTATAAAACACTGATGAAAAAAACTGAAAGAGGATACACATACAAAAATGGAAAGACATTCCATGTTCATGGATTAGAAGAATATTGTTAAAATGTCCATGCTACCCAAAGGAATCTACAGATTCAATGCAATCCCCATTGAAATAACCGATGATATTCTCCACAGAAATAGAAAAAATAATCCTAAAACTTACATGGAACCACAAAAGACCAAGAATAGCCAAAGCCATCCTGAGCAAAAAGAACAAAGCTGGAGGAATCACATTACCTGATTTCAAATTATACTACAGAGTTGTAGTAACCAAAACAGCGTGGTACTGGCATAAAAACAGATACATACACCAATGGTACAGAATAGAGAACCCAGAAATAAATCTACACATCTATAGTGAACTTATCTTTGACAAAGGTGCCAAGAACCTATACTGGGGAAAGGACAGTCTCTTCAATTAATGGTGCTAGGAAAACTAAATATCTATATGCAAAAGAATGAAACTAGACCCTTATCTCTTGCTACATACAAGAATCAAATAAAAATGGATTGACAACTTAAATCTAAGACCTGAAACTGTTAAACTACTAAAAGAAACATTAGGGAAACACTTCAGGACCTTGGTCTGGGCAAGGACTTCTTGAGTAATACCCCCAAAGCACAGGCAATCAAAGCTAAATTGAACAAATGGGATCACTTCAAGCTAAAAACCTTCTGTAAAGCAAAGGAAACAATCAACAAAGTGAAGAGACAACCTACAGAATGGGAGAAGATATTTGCAAACCTACCCATGTGACAAGGGATTAATAACCAGAATATATAAAGAGCTCAAACAACTCAACAGGAAAAAAATCAAATAATCCCATTAAAAAATGGGCAAAGGATCTTGATAGACATTTCTCAAAAGAAGACATACAAATGTCCAATATGAAAAAATGCTCAACATCATTAGTCAACAGAGAAATACAAATGAAAACTACAATGAGATACCATCTTATCCCATTTAAAATGGCTTTTATCAACAAGGCAGGCAATAACGAATGCTGATGAGGATGTGGAGAAAGGGGACACTTATACTGTTGGTGGGAATGTAAGTTAAAGTTCTCTCTATGGAGAACAGCATGGATATTCCTCAAAAAACTAAAATAGAACTACCATATGACCCAGTAATCCCACTGCTGGATATATAGCCAAAGGAGGGGAATTCAGTATATCAAAAAGATATCTACACTCCCATATTTATTGTAACACTACTCACAGTAGCCAAGATTTGGAATCAACCTAAGTGCACAAAAAGAATGAAATCCTGTCATTTGCAACAACATGGATGAAACTGGAGAACATGATGTTAGTTGAAATAAGCTAATAAGCACAGAAAGACAAATCTTGCATGTTCTTACTCATATGTGGAAGTTAAATAATAAAACAATTGATCTCATGGAGACAGAGAGTATAATGATGCTTACCAGAGGCTGGCAAGGGTAGCAGGGTGAGGGAGGATAAAGTGGGGGTGGTTAATGGGTGCAAAAATATAGTTAGATAGTTAGAATGAACAATATTTGATAGCACAACAAAGTGACTATAATCAACAATAAGTTAGGGTATACTTTAAAATAACTAAAAGGGTGGAATTGGAATGTTCCTAACACACAAAAATGATAAATGCTTGAGGTGATGGATACCCCAGTTACCCTGATTGATTAATTCACCTTGTATGCCTGTATCAAAACATCACATATACCATATAAAGATATATAACTATTATGTACCCATAATAATTAAAAATAAAAATGAAATAAATTTAAACAAAGACATTTATAAGTGTCAACCATTAAAATAAATTTTCCTATAATTATGTTTACATGTGGGATGTAAAGTAGCTTATTATGGTAAAACATATTAAAAAAACAAATAATAACATAGTTGCCACAAATAAAAAAATTAATCGGAGCATGACATTTGTGTGAGTTAGGATAGCATATTCAATTGAAGTGTTTTTCATTAGGTATTCTTTCCATAGAAGTTTATTTGAATACTGTTAAAGAAAAATTATTTCTGGGACTTTGATGTTTTACTTCTAAATCACTATAGATACTTAGGAGGAAAAAGCATACCTTCTGTACTTCATGGTAGTTATTCAAAGCTATCACCCACTGGCACATAGAGCAACAAGCAACGGAAACCAAAGCAATCTTGTTTGGGTTGAAATCAGGTAAGATTAAAATTTTTTTCAGCTTCATGAAAACCTAGAGACAATACAGGTATTACATGAGAAAGAAATACTATTGATCTGAAGCTTTTCCCAATCTACATTAGATTGAAATTTTATTTCATGTAAGAAATATTCAACTACTTTTCAAAAGTGGAATAGGAGATATATACCTGGCCACAAAAATGGCCCTAGTACTGGGAAGGGGAAAAGTTTCTATTATAAATATTCTCCTGTTTCTGTTGTTATTACAGTAGCTTTGATACAGTTTTAAAAAAGAAACTCCATTTTAAAATAAAAATGAAAACATGCTAACTTTCTCCAGCTTTGGGAATTTGGTGTCTAAAAAGGTCTGATGTCTCGTCACACACTTTAGGTATGACGTGACTAGGAATAGCATCCTCTACCTTCTGTCCCTCAGGTGGCATACTGGCAGGGCATAGTCCCTACTGAAAGGTCTGTCTAGTCACTGATGGCAGCGTGGCCTGAGGCACACTGGGGCTCCAGTATGAAGACAATCTCTAGCTTAGCTGTGTCACATGCCTGCAGATCCACCTCATCTAAATGGTGCCACTTAGTTTAGATATACAGAATTTCTAATCTACTTTTGGGAACCAAAATTGGAATGAAGTCTTTCTCAGACTGAGACTCCTTTTTCCTTTCCATCCAGGTATTTCCTCTCTTTCCTGGAAGAACAGAATTATTTTCCTGAATAATTTAGATGGCAGGTGGTCCATTTCTCTAATAATTTCTTATTGTCATTTAAAATACTGTTAGGTCTTTCATCATTTCTTTAGATGAGGTATTAATTATTTTTAGCTTGAAAGATCTATTTAAACACCACCACAGAGCATTTATATTTGGTAAGAATTCTTCAGAGAGTAGTCATTGTTGCATTAATTTATGGATAATATGGATATCAACACTAATATTGTGCCAAAAAATTCACGTTGTTCATGGACTACTGTGAAAGTTGTCAGAATCAAAATAGAGTCACTTGTGTTTAAAAAAACCACATGACAAATAGAGCCAAGGAAGGCCATGAAGAGAAGGTTCTCATGTGTAACAAAAATGATCACAAAAGACCACAAAATCTGCAAACTTGTACAATGGCCATTGCAACCTTACACAAAAATACTTCTGTGAGGACATCTGCTCAGCAACTGCCTGTCCAATCTCAGACTGGCACCTTGTTATTGATCCCTGTGGCCAAGGATAATTAATTCAAAACAATTGAGTAATCCTCTTCATTTTTCCTTTAAAAACCTTTGTCTTCCTTTACCTGCCTGAATATGCACATAGTTTACTATAGTACACACATTCCCATTGCAATTTCCTGTTCCTGAATAAATATCATTTTCTTTAAGAGAGGCTCTCTCTGTTTGTTATTTAGGTAGACATTATCCTATGCTTCCCAACAGCACAGACCATCATTGTAACTAATTAATTATCTGTCTAATTAGATGTTTAATGTGTGTCTTCCCTTACAATGTAAGCTTCACACAGCAAGGCATGTAAACTACTCTATCATAGTATCTATTACAAGGAAGATGTTCTTTAAATATTTATTGAATGAATTAATAAGTACTCACCCCCTCAGCTTAGGACAGTGCTATCTATATGCCTGCAAATCGATTAGTCTGCCTGTAAACTTAGCTCTCAGCTCAGCTCCTATGCAATATTCCAGTTTGGATATTCTTCCAGTCCCTATCTGTTGCCAGCTCCACATTTTAGGTCCTTATTATAGCAGCAACTACTTTCCAGTACCAAAATCTGTATTAGTTTCCTGTGGCTATTGTAGTAAATTACCACAAGCTGGGTGACCTAAAACAACAGCAGTTTATTCTCTCACAGTTCTGGAGGCTAGAAGTCTGAAAGGCAGCCTGAATCAAAGTCGGGCTTGACTCCTTGCGGCGCTCTAGGAGAGAATCTATTCTTCGCTTCTCCCAGCTTCTGGCGTTCCAGGAGTTACTTGGCTTATGGCTGCATCATGGCATTTGGCCTTTTCTGCACTTCTATCTACATTGCCTTGGACCAAGACTTTGTAACCTCTTGCCTACTTTGCCATACTCTTTTCTACAAAACTCACCCATCCAGCAGGGCCGGCCTCACACTACCAGGGCCTTGAAGTCTGCTGCTTGCCCAAGACTTTGGCCCTGCCCTCTTCCTCTTTGAAGTCCTACAGTAAATCTACATTCTTCTAAATTAAATCTGCTCCAGTAAAACCCTTCACTAGAGGTTCCAGGATACTTTATTTTTTCTTTAAATTTTTTATATGCCTTAATCTCCCTCCACATGAATTAATATTTGGAAAGTACTCAGAACAATGTCTGCCATCTGCTGTTGTATGATCATTTGTTACACTAATAAAAATAAGTCTTAGACACAAACTGTACTTTCATAGTATAATGCAATCACTATTGTCCTTTATTCTTCATTATTTAAAGAGATTCTGAGACATGACATATTCTGATTTTGGTGACATGTTGCTTTTTCTTGACATTTCTAAGAAACTTGTTAAGTTTCGATATGCAGTTTGATCTCTAATCTTTTGACTCTTACCATTGTCTGCCAATTCTAATATAGAATTCCGATTCTAATACTTCTATTTGACTCCATATATTATAAATGAGGGATGGGGATGCATCAGTTATATATTAATTAGAGTTCAACTTTTTACCTTATCAGGTATGCTGTCCTTGTCAAGGCTAATCAATTTTTTTAAGAAACCAGTTTCTGAAAGAAGTAACTTTGCTGTTGTCCAGTTAGGTTTCTTTTGCAGAAGAATACACACTGCATTCATGACAGTCAGCACAAGGAAGGGAGGCCGTGTGTATACTCTGTAATAGATGGTGAAAATCTAATTACTTTACAACTAAAATCAAATGTACCCTATAAGCTATCTCAGAAGATAAAATACACAGATTATAACAAGTATTTTGATAAGGAAACCTATTTGTCAATGTACAACTATTTCACTATTTGTGTATCTTTTAGAAGCTGAATATCATTAATGTACGGGTATCTTTGCTTTAGGAAGATGGAATGCATAAAACCAATATATATGTATATATATGCAGACACACACACACACATATATGTATGTATATAGAACATCAGAGTTAGAGACTGATTCTTTTTATTACAAAGTTTTCACTGTAGAGTTATTTAAAAATAGGAACACTCCTATTTCATTCCAGTGTTGATTTACTGATGACTACTTGACAGAGACACTGTGTACGTGTATGCGTGTGTGAGGGGTAGTGGAAGTCAGCCTTATTCTTGTGATTTAAGGAGTGCCGTAATGTCCAACGCTCCTTAAACACATCCTCTGACTTTCCTTCATCCAGACCTAAAATTCCCACCATAAAGATAATTGATACAATAGAGTCAAGGGAAGGAGGTAGGTGAGAATTTGTCTCTCAAGTCATTAATAAGGTGTTCATTTTTGAAACACTGGAGGCTGTCTCTTAATCAACTGACATGCTCCCGGACAATTAGGTAAGAAATTGACACTTGGAAAATCTGGGATCAGAGTAACATAAGATACAAGTTTCAGTGAGAAACCATGAGGAGTGGTGGTTGCCATGCAACAGTATTTGGGACTTGGAACAAGGGTGTGGGTCCACCCAGGGTAATGAGTCTCCACATATGAAAATTGCACGGACTTCCTAAAAGAATAAAGGCAGCAAAGCGAACTTTACATGTATGACATTACCTACAGGGCTACCAAGAAGGTCCCCTGCCTTAAATTTCATAACTGGAAATTCTGATCTATGTATTCATCTGTGTGATCATTTGGATTAATCTTTATTCTCTTTAACAGTCTACTTGTAAAATGAAGATAGTTTTCAGGAGTACTGAATAACTAATTCATCAATGCCTTATTTTGAACTAATTTTTCAGATTTCTTTTCTGAGATTATCAGTTTGGCCTTGTTGAGATAATAAGAAAGATAACAGAAGAACTGGGAAAAGAGAGACAAGGTCCATAAAAGAGAAACAAGAGCTCCAACGACAAACTTTTCCTCAATTTTACCCAGGTTTGATTCTATTTAAAACAAATATGATGTGAATATAGCTAAATTAAGATGCAATTATCTATGACATTTAATTTAAATTAAAGGGAAAATAGGATTAAAATGACCATAGTTCAATATATGTGCCACTTTCCTGGAACAAATATTTGATTCAAAGTGAGACCTGTTTATACTAGAAATCTGCTTTAAATTCCTCTATTGACAGAAGTAGTCTACCTTGGATCCTTCCTCATTTACCCTAATCTGCATTTTCTACTATCTTTTCTCTTCTTCTAGTGGCTAATGTTGCAAAATGGAAAAAGATTAAACTGTCATGGGGCAATTGTTTGTATTTTGATTATGGAAGCTAGGAAAGAGAATGCATGTGCCAGGTGTCTCTGCTTCATGTCCTAAGATTAGCAACAAAGATGATATTATAAAGCATCCTCATTTATGTGGCATTGTAAGTGGGCCAAATGAAATGCACATTAGCAATAATCACAAGCAGGAATCTTTAAAAACATACAAACAAACAAACAAACAAGATATGTGAAAGGAATTCAAGAACAAGCTGGTTTTCTTTAGCTTTTGTAGTACTAAGGCAAGGAAAAGGGCCTGTTTGGCCAGAGGAAACCTCTTAGCAAGGAAAGTAACCTTTATTGAGCAGTTGCCTTATTCTAGACTCTGTTCTAAGCATTTTACATGTATTAACTCATTCAATCCTCTCAACATCTGTTATCACTGTTGTATAAAAGGGAAGCTCAGGCAGAGGGAGGTTATTATACAGCTAGAAGGTGGCAGTTCCAGGATTCCAACCTAGGAAGCCTGGTATTGCAGCCCATGTGCTTAATCACTATGACTCACTGTTGATCAGAAATTAGGCTAAAGGGGATTTGAGCTGACCTTTCTCAGAAGTATCTTCCAGAGAAAAAGCTAAGAGGGGCCGGGCGTGGTGGCTCATGCCTGTAATCCTAGCACTCTGGGAGGCCAAGGCGGGCGGATTGTTTGAGCTCAGGAGTTAGATACCAGCCTGAGCAAGAGCGAGACCCCGTCTCTACTAAAAATAGAAAGAAATTAGCCAGACAACAAAAAATATATAG